AATCCATATGCCAGTAGTATGTTAGAAAGATTCTTATCCTCCGGAAAACTCACGAATATACTAAGCGAATCAAAACTATGTCCCACAACGTTCAGTATAATACGTCCCTTAAATGTATCAGATGTCATACCTTGACTGGTAAATCCACACACTCCTCCCATTACATCCCTTGGGCAAAATTACAACAATTAGGACCATTTCGGTAACTAAGCACTTCAACTATACCTCCCACTTATTGTCATTCCTAATGGAGACATCTTCAGATATACCCTCATCAGAAAAGCATTATGAAAATACAGTGAATACAGTATGTTTAATCAGAATATACACAAAAACCTAAGGTCATATATATAACAGTAGGCATGACACTCCATGTACATATATAAATACATATCTGCAAATAACTTCTTTGTACCTTGGTTCCTAGCTCTCTATGTTTTCTATTCTTGGTATAAATAGAATCTTAGAAGCCTGCATTTAGACTGGAGTTACATTATTTCATCAGTAGTTTTCTTAAATATCACTGCCTCAGTTTCCAAACAACTCCACAATCGTTCAACCTGTGATGAACGTCCTTATGACATAACATGAAGATCCTTCCATGAATCCTATTGATGCTTATTTATCCAGTGTTATAAAGAATCATGCGTCTACTACAATGTTTTACTTCCGAATGATTGACTGGAGCCATTTCTTCCACTGTGGCTGTAAATAGCATACAAAAATGCTTACAACTTTATCTATAGGTGCGGAATCTTTAACTCGACCTCAAAATTCAGCGGAATTTGACCATTATTTACCGAACTACTAAGCGTGATGCAAAGCGTTATGGCAACCATGGTGGACATATGTTCAATTTAGCATGAACAAACAAAAATAAAACGTTTCATCAGAGAGGTGTTATACGATTATCATTGCTACTTATTATTGTCTATTCAGTATATTTTGACGTTTCAGTGAACCTGGAAATGCATATCTTTTTAATAATACATAGAATTTGCCACCATACTTCCCCTATTTTCATGATATTTCTGGTGAACACGGTTAAGTTATTAGGCCAGCATTTGAGAATGAATGTGATGAATTGTTTCCTCTTTTTCTTTGTATGATACTTCTACACATTCACTTAACACGATTTTCACTCCTGCCAGAAAATATCAAACTTATTAATGAGCATAAAAATTCACCACTAAATGCTATAACGGTATCTGTAAAAATAATATGCACCTGTAAATTTAGGAATAAATTATTAGTATTGGTAGTGTTATTATTATTATTATTATTATTATTATTAATATCAGACTACCTGCCGCAAGAGAAGTGACTATCATGACGCAGTAGCCTAGGCGATAGCCCTTCATCGTTTAAAGCGACGGGTGCTGAGTTTTGCTCTCAACAGAAAGCCTACTCAGCTAATGTTTCTCAAATAGGACGAAACACTCGTTTAAGATTCTACTGATAGACATCATCCATGGACAAGATATTATTTTTCATTCCAAAATGCCAACTGTGTATAACAGCATTTGATAATGAACAAAGGTTCCAGTCAAAAGCATTGACACAACTGTCTTTTTTTATTTCGATGTTCCCAAAGAAAATTGAATTCAACACTCAGTAAACACAAGGAAATTCATGTTTTTTTAGTTGTTAACTCTGAATTCAATTTTTCACCACCGACCATTGCTAACTAAAAGACAATCTGAAGAAAGAATATTCCTTCCTGTAAATTTTCTCATAAGGTTAGCATAAAAACAAGTCAATTTAAGGGAAAAATATATTTTCAAGGTGGAATGAGATTTAGAGAATATCACGAAATCGATTTTTATCTTCTAAGTTTATCAGTATTACAGTGATATGGTTACAGATGAAGAATGTAATGAATATTTGAAGAAAAGACAACGAATAACTCAGATAGGAATAGATATTAGCTGACTGAACACCATCAGAGAAATACTGTCTAAACATAATCTTTCTGAACGCACAGTTCAGATTTTATCAGCCTGTTTGTGACGATCTCAGTTATCGCAATTTATTTGAGTGTGGCTGGTAGAAAAATCTCAGATGCACGGTTCGTCCTATTTGAGACTCGTCTGCTGGATGTATCTGCATCCCAGTGCCAAGTGATGTTGTTCCCAATGAGCTGGTACCTCGCATCCATCACTTTAAATGCCTAAGCGTCATCCATTAGGCCACTGAGGCACGATAGCCACCCATGGTGATAACTAATGCTCGTTGCACCAGCTGATGAGTCCCGAATGGAGCGAAACACGCATCCTGGGTCCCTCTGCTAGCTACAAGCAAGAAAATTATCATGGTGAATATTCAGGCAATATCGAGGCTTCCGTATAGGAGCTCATATGCGAACGGAGGTCGAACAAATGGATGTATTAAAATAACGGAGAATTACGAGCATCTGAACAAATAGTAATGACCTCAGTTTAGTTGAGCAGGCGTTGACAAGCTACATGTGGTATTTTTTTGTCAGATGATGTATGACACTTCAAGCTTTATTAACATCTGTAAGATGACGTGTGTCTACTAGGTGCACTAGGACTGAACGTTTCACCATTTTCACTTCGCCTTTTCTAAACCAAGCTGGTAAATGCTTTCGTATTGGGAGACGCACCTGCCTAATTGTACTCCCCATATAACATGTTCCACACGAACGGTCACACTGATATATGTAGAGTGAAGTGAGGATTGCTTAACTACTAACATGCATACTGTTACAGTGGTGGCCTCGGGGTTCCACTTGTCTAGGCATATAAAGATTCGGACCTCACATATCCTCCTCTTCCTGAAGAGTTCTTCCAGCTGACGAGTCCCAAATAGGACGAAATGCGCATCCTGGATTCCACTGCTAGCCATTGTCCATCATTACTATATATGTAAACTCTGCCTTAAAGTTGTGCAGTTACCTGAAATAAATACGGATAATAAATTATGTCCGAAACGTAATCCAGTAAATGATACTGTTTCTTCATTGTGTGATATTTCTAATAAACAGACTAAAATAGAATTACAATCTACCACAGTGTAAAAGTTTTACTCTTATATTCCTAGTTGGTTCTCAACCCAACTAATTAAATGGAGACAGTGAACACAGTGAAACATGTAGGAACATGCTTTCAGACAGGAAAAGTGAAGTACTTAACAAAGTAAGAATATATCTGAATATATATACATAGTCCAAAGTTTTAAAATAATAATATTAATTGATTCATCGATCGTCTACTAGTCTAAGTGGCGTCAAAATTAACAAAGGGTACATTTTGATTGGTCCATTTCCGAACTAACTAGTTTGATCCGTTTATCAAGAAGAAATGAAACAATAGAAGAATTCGTTGTGATGATTAGGATGATGATATTGTATGGATACATTTGCATTACTGATATTGACTCCACATCATGTTGTCTAGAGTCTAAAACCACCGGTTCTGATTATCACACAAATCCCTCCAACCTGGAAGTCTGCATCCCTCTACGAGACAAAGCCCTATAGTTATTTGGATTTTGAGAATAGTCGAAAGAAGAACTATGGTGAACTTATGTTTTGATGCGGAGTAGCCAGAAGCATATGGAATCAACAGAAACTTTTGTTCTCGACCTGCCAATATCTCTAACTCTTTTTCCACCCTCACCAAAGATTATTATTATTATGCTGAAATGATTCTTGTGCGAAAATGTGATAAAATATAAGGATTATAACATTGTTGTTTTCATGTTGGAAAACATCCATTTTGTAGTTGAGAAGCCTTTTTATGCCCTTCCAAACATTAATAGTCAGAATGAATTGTATAGCATTACACTTGGGCTTAAATAGACGATCATATTTCATGGCGTTACCATGGATGGTAGAAGTTTGCAAAAGCCAAGCGAACCTTTTATATCCATGCTGAGATTTGGTCGCTCACTAACCTAGCAAAGCTGATCCGACTTCTAAGGTAAGTGAAATGGTCAATGGGTTCAATCACTTTACTCCCTATTGTTAGAATGGACACCAATGTTAACCAGTCAAGAAACGATAGTATGCATTTAAGGTGTTAGGGAATACATCTCAAACATTCGCAACTTGCTAACCAAGGTGTTCAAAGGACTCTACATCTCTTCGGAATCTTCATCTGAGATTATTATGTCATCTGTGTACTCTAGACATCTGACTGTATGCCAGCGGTTTCATGACCGTCAGTTCTTTTAACAAACATGTTGCTGTTCAATCTTGATTTGAAATCCGATGGCCCATATTTTCTAACCTTTTACTATTCGTCATGTAATACCGCTGCTAGTGAGCACTCGCTAGCGATTTGCTTCAAGATAGACTGGCGGAAGTTTCAGTAAGAGCCCATTAACCATAGAGTTGAGATAAGTTGGGTGTAAGGACAGGTACTCACTCTTCATCGATATTGGATGGTGGCAAACTGGAAGGAGTCGGAGGTTATGAATGGTCAGATCCCAACTAGAAGCTGGACGGTAAGATGTTTGTCGCCTCGCTTGATGACCCTCGGCTTGTTCTTCTGTGGTGTTGTGAATATTCTGTGTTGAAGATTCCTAAAGAAGTACAAAACAGCCATACCGTGCGGTCCAAAACTTTGAGTCGATTATCTTTTCACTTATCCCAAGTACCGTTCATGCAACAAGCTTATGACACAAATATTTTGAAGTAGTTTTTCTTTTCTGCAGAAAAAATTAAGTTGTTCTACAATACGTTTATGCTTCATATGACTACCAGTTGACATGGTTTTGTGCTGTTTAGTACTTTTGACCTAGTTTTCTAATGAAGATGTTAAAGAACAAATGAGCAATTACGCATTTTGTTAAACTGAACTTTTTTCAATTTCCATGTCATCTCAATAAGCTGAAAACGTCATAAAGGAAAGCAGCCAATCAAACTTCAGCTGTACTGAGGTTGAATTTGATTGGCTGTCAGATTTTTGTTTCGGTAAACTACATTTTGATTGGTTATTAATTCTTATATAAATTGTAGTCTACTAAAGGGCCACAATTTACGTATATTTCACACGTTAAACTCCACTGTGATTACACAGGAAATGCAACTTCAACCTCCAGCCTATGAAAGTCTTGTAGCTGTGGATATGACAGGAGATGAACATCTTGATGTTGTTGTTGAACAAGGCATACATCCAGTAAAACGACGTCCATTCAGTAAATCTCTTCGTAACCGATTAAATCATATTGTCAGTATGTATATACCTGGTAATAATACAGTAGACAACAGATTGGACGGAAATGATGAATCAACTGATCATACAGGATTATTATCTTCTAATGAAGCAAAGTTAGATTTCAATTTGATGAAAGACAATGAATTATACGATATCAAGTTGATTTATTCAAGTGAACAGATAATTAAAAGTATTCTACGCAATACAAACTTGCCAGAGAAATTATCTATGAGTGATCCACCAAGAATCATATCACTTGCAGCAGATCATAACACAATCTACATAGGCTTTGAACATCTACCCTATATATTTCTAATTTCCACAGAGTTAACAAACACTACTAAATGCGAACGAAATATCTTCAAAGGATACTTAAATCTACATTCTCCTGGGGTAGGGAATATCTTACCGATTGAATTATGTACTTATTCAGTTCAACCTGATCATACTATCCTGTATATTGTCGGGATTATACAACAAACAGAATGCGTAACGGTAAAAAAGAAGTGGATCTTGGCAAAATTTGATTCCACTGGTCAACAGCTTGCTCGTAGTCGTGTTTATTCATATCAACGTTATTCTGGTTTGTCAGTTGACACAAATGATGGTCATTTATTGTTGGCCTGTCCATCGATTAGTGAGTGTGTTACATCAAATAACAATAATAGTAATAATAATGATTCACCTGGACAGATATGCAAATTAACCCCAGGATTCGAACGTCGTATATTTTCAATAACAATGGGTAAAGAATCAGTATTCTATAAACCAAATTATGTTACTCAAGAAACAGCTGGTCATTGTTGTTGGGCGTCTGTTGAACGTTTATCATCACAATGTAAAGAGAATTTAGAGAATATTCATCAACCAACAAGACGACTATTAGCATTTCCTGGACGTCAACCAAATAGTGAATCAAAACAGAGTGCACGAGATTGGTTACATGCTTATTCATGGGATTTTGCTGATCTTAAACCAGGTAGAATATGTGCATACGATGCTAATCGTCTATTGGTAATTGATTCTAAAATTGGAACATTATCCTATATCACTTGGTCAAATGATCAAGAAAAACCAAATCTATATCGTATTACTCGTCCATCATCTAAGCCTATTCGTTTGTTATATTCAACATATAATAATAGTCCAACGAGTTCAAGTGAAATACAAATAAATGTTGCCTATTTTGTTGCTGGTTCTAGTATATTTTCATTCTCGTTTCGTGATAACACGTCTTCATCAACTGTCACCGCTAACAATATGAATATTGATCATGACAACTCGAATAATACTGTTAACAAGTAAATAAATCAATGACGATCGATAATTGATCATTTCAAGTCCCTTCTCATCGATAACTTGTATAGTATCATCTTAATTGATAATTGTCATTATCATCATTGATAACCAAAGTTATTGTTATGAGTGTCAGTGAAATTTATATGCTTCATGGTTTTGTTTTCTCGACTATCATTGGTATTTTTATTGACATTGGTATTGATTTTTTAAAAATGTACTCACCTTCATTATTGTTTATTTTGATTTTTTTTCTTAAAGAGTTAATTGTGGTCATTGTTACTTCTTCACTAACCACGCAACTTTCCATCTCTAGATGGGTCTACTATGATTATTGTTGTGTTTACTCGAGGAGACCAGTTTCTTTTTGTAATCGAAGGTAAAATGTACAATTTACATATTGAAGTGTTACTGATGGTCACCGGAGGTGAGATGAAACAGGGGAGAATCGATACCAATTCTCTTATCTGTTTATCAAAAAAGTAGTTTATATGAAGTTGTTAACAGCCGTCATTTTTTGACTTTTGTGTATATTCAAAGAGCTGGATCTATTCAACACTAATATTCTTGCTATAATTTTAATGAAATGAAAGAAATCAGATATAGTCGGCTAAAATAATGAAAGATTGAAAATTAGCCTATCTACTGCAAAGAGTTTGAATAGGGTTATTGTCAATTGTCTGAGCGTATAACAAACGAGAATTTTATAAAGACACAATTATTATTATTATTATTATTAGTCCCTTGGGTTCCTAGTGGAACATAGGGCTTCAGTAGCACGCCTCCAGTGACCTCTGTTCTCCGAGATCTTTTGAACCTGGTTCCACGACAGCCCACAACCTCTCATTTCCTCCTCGCATGACCTCCTCCATGTCACCCTCGGACGTCCAACTCGTCGCTTCCCATGGGGATTCCACTCGAGGGCCTGACGCGTGATGTCCTCAGTCGGCCTTCTCAGTGCATGGCCAATCCATCTCCACTTCTTCCTGCATATTTGTTGCGTGATAGGTTCTTGGTTGGTTCGTTCCCAGAGTTCCTTGTTGCTTATTTTTTCTGGCCATCTGATCTTCAGCAGCGAGCGTAAGCAGTTGTTGATGAATGTCTGTAGTTTATTGGAAATCCTTTCGTGACGCGCCAAGTCTCTGAGCCATACAAGAGCACTGACTTGACGTTGGTGTTGAAAATCCGTATCTTGTTCCACATGCTGAGTGCGGAAGATCTCCACACTGGTTTCAGGCTAATGAACGCCTGTCTTGCTTTTCCGATTCTGACTTTGACGTCCTCGTCCGTCCCGCCTGTAGTTGAAACAGTGCTTCCTAGATAAGTGAAGGAGGTTACTTCCTTCAAGTTTCTCCCGTTGACGGTGATTGGAGTTTGTTGTTGTTGTTGATGTGGTGGTGCGGTATCTTCATCACTTCTGTCTTCTCTATATTCACCTGAAGTCCCGTCTTAGCTGCCTCTTCTGTCAACTTGTTAGTTTTTGCCTGCAGATCTTCAAGTTTATGTGACATTAGGCATAAGTCATCGGCGAAATCCAAGTCTTCTAGGTTCTTTTCCGTCGTCCAGTGTATCCCCCTCTTCTCGCTGCCTACTGTTTGCTGCATGATCCAGTCCACCACAATAAGGAATATCATGGGGGATAGTAGGCAACCTTGTTTCACTCCTGTCTTCACTTCAAAGGCATCACTGAGCTTCCCATTGTGGATTACTTGGCATGTGGCATCTTCATATAGTTGTTGAATGAGGCGGATAAAGGTTTGCGGTACTCCGTAGTATTGAAGCAGTTTCCAAATTACTTCTCGGTCGACGCTGTCAAAGGCCTTCTCAAAGTCGATGAAGTTGAGGTATAGAGCTGATTGCCATTCTACGCTCTGTTCTATGATGATACGAAGCGTTGCAATTTGGTCAGCACATGATTTGTACTTCCTGAAGCCTGCCTGTTCCGGTCGCAGTTTTGAATCCAGTGCGTCTTTAAGCCTCTCCAGGATGATGCGGCTTAATATTTTACTTGGGGTGGATAGGAGAGTGATTCCTCGCCAGTTCTTGCAAGCACTGAGGTCTCCCTTCTTCGGCAGTTTGACAAGGTAACCCTTCTTCCAATCGACAGGTACCTTCTCTTCCCTCCACACCTTCTGCAATAGTGGTGTGAGCATGTCCGCTGTTGTCTCTGCATCTGTTCTCAGTGCTTCTGGCGGTATTCCATCTGGTCCTGCTGCTTTCCCGCATTTCAGTAGCTTTATGGCGTTCAGGACTTCCATTTTCGTTGGGGGATTTATGTTCACTTGTAATTCAGCGGCTGCAGGTGGTATTTCTGGACGAAGTGCAGGTGGTGGTCGATTCAAGAGCTTCTTGAAGTGGTCGGCCCATCGTTTCCTCTGTTTCTCTTCTTTTGTAATTAAATTTCCTTCTTCATCTTTTATTGGTTTCATCTGTGTTGGTCTCTTCCCTGATAGCAACCTGGTTATTTGATACAATGTCGTCAGGTCTCTCTTACCTGCAGCCTGTTCTGCTTCACTTGCCAGTGTGTCGTAGAAGTGTCTTTTGTCTTTGCGTGCACTCTTCTTCACTTCTTTATCCAGTGTTTTATACATTGTGCTCAGTTCCTCTTGTCGTTGAGCATCCTTGCACTGGTTTATCTTCTGCTTCACCATCCTCCTCTCCTCTATCAGCTTCCAGGTATCCGTCGAGATCCATTCCTTGTCTTCCTTCTTCCTTCCTAATACTGTTGTGCAGGTTTCTTTCCACATAGCTTTCAAAGACTTCCAGTGTTCTTCTACACAGGTTTCTTCAGGGATGTCCCTCGACGTCTCCCATTTTGTCTTGATGGCTGCTTTGAAGATCTCCTTTGTAGTTTCATCCTTCAGTTTCCGAGTGTTGTACTTGAATTGAGGTCTATCACCAGCTTCCTTGAAGGCTTTTAACTTGATTTGGAAGGTTCCTTGCACTAGATAGTGGTCTGAACCTACATCTGCTCCTCTTCTTGACCTTGTGTTAAGTAGACTGCGTCTCCATTTTCTTGAGATTGAGATAAAGTCGATTTGATTTTTAGTGTGTCCATCTGGTGAAGTCCATGTCGCTTTGTGGATATCCTTGTGCCTGAACACACTGCCTCCAATCACCAAATCGTTGAATGCGCAGAATTCTGCAAACAATTCTCCATTCTCATTCATTTCACCTAGCGCCTCTCGACCCATGGTTAGTTCTCTTCCCGTGTTGTCCCCTCCCAGTTTGGCATTCATGTCGCCCATTAGAATTTTGATATCGCCAACTGACGTCTTGTCCAGTGTTGACTGAAGTTGTCTGTAGAATTCCTCCTTTTTCTCTTGCTCTGCATTATTTGTAGGTGCATAACATTGTATGATTGTGACCTTTCTTCCTTTTGAGTTGAATCTTGCTGTCATGATCCTGGAGGAGATTGGTTCCCACTGCATGAGAGCCTTCGATGCTCTTGAGGACATCATGATAGCCACTCCCTCAGTGTGCTCGTGGTTGGCGTCTGGGTGACCAGAGTAGATTATTGATTCTCCAGTTGACAGTTTGGAGAGTCCACTCCCATTCCATCTGCTCTCGCAAATCCCAAGCACTTCGATGTTATACCTTCTCATCTCCTTTGCAATCTGGGCTGCCTTACTGGGTTCAAACATCGTGCGGACATTCCATGTCCCCACGTTTACTTTCGCTTTCATCGAGAGAAGACACATCGGCCAATTGGCTTCCCGAAGGCTTTCACCAACTGGCGTCATTTCGCCTCTCCGATTCCAGCGGGGAATAAGTTTGTTTTCATTTTTTATATTTTGTTTGTGCTTTGAAGTTTCTTTAGCGGTTAGATTTGTTTTACGGGGTAGGGTTGCTAGCCCTATGCCCAACCTTCCCTCTTTACCCGGGCTTAGGACCGGCTAGTAACTAGTAAACTAGTTAACCAGGCGAGGTTATAAAGACACAATAGACTTTGCCATTGTACATGCTGTTTTGTTGTTGAGTTTATCACTTATGTGTATGGATAACGTCTATCTTACTACTACTACTACTACATATATTTGTTTATTGATGTTTCGCTGTCTATGAACTAATGATAAGTAATTTTAAGTTGGCTGGAAGTAACTATGACTCTCCCATGTTGGCTAAATGCTCCACAACAGTTACGCGTCAAGGCGTTAAACGTAAAGGAGCCCTACATGGTATGCTGAGGTGGTGTGCGTCAGTAAGGTTAAGGGAATCCAGCTGCTTAATTCTGACAGTCATTATTGTTGAGAGAAGTGATGTGACTTCACATACTAAGGTAAAGCGATGTTTGGTCCAGAATGATGGGCATTTTTTCGCTGTATGCTACACCGATTTGTTTGTTACGTAGGCTGAGAGTATTCCTTCTTGCCTGAAATGTTGATGAGAGAAGGTGTGATGTATCGTTTTCTGTGAGACTAGATAATCATGCATTCCTGCTCACATGGAGGTCAGTCCGATCAACGAGCCGTTTACTCAGCGAATGTGGATACCGTGATTCTTAACAGTTTGAGAGAGCGTTAACAGAGTGCTCGTTTTTATGTGATTGCGTTGGTGAAAGATGCTTTTGCACGATGAGGTGATCGATTACCCAGGTTTTAAAGGTGACAACGTTCAAGTGGACGATGGTCCAGCCTAAAGATGGGGACTGAGCCGAAAAGTGGAGCGAAACCTTAGTAGACTATTAGTTTTAAGTTGACTGGAAGCAACAGAAAAGATACTCTATGTGACCTAGGTTTCGTGCTTGTTGGGAGTCATCAGTAAGGCATATCTAGAACATCGAAGGGACTGATACCCTCTTGTAAAATTCGAACCTGCATCACTGAGTGTTGTTGTTAGCGAGGATATTCGGGACGCAAATGATCTCCTGCATGATTAGATTAGATAGACTGATTAACCGTACTGGTCAGCGCTCAGAGATAGACAATAGGAAATTGATCGCTCTTCAGTGATCAATCAGGTTATAATTCCGGGCACTTTTCCCTTCAATGTGACCAAAAACCCTATGAAATGTGGGTATCTACGTATCAGTATTTGGAACATAAAAACGTTTGATCCAGCAAATATGCTAGTTAGTTACACGCACCCTGTACGTTTCTTATAAGTAGGAGAGCTGGACAGAGAAAAGTTAGGTCCCATTCATATAACAGTCGGCAGATTTGATGGTTCTGCAAATCAGCTTTCATCTTCATCTGCATATACCGAAATCAGTTTGCCTAGAAAGGTTATAATGTAACCAATATCACATATCTCCTGATGCAGCAATCCTTGTCAGATGGTATACGTGCATAGCCCATATATACCGTCTAAGTGAGAACCGTTTCACTCCATATTCAGTCCATTTCTCTTATTTCAATGCAGTCCTGCTGCAGTAATCGTATAACGCACCAACTTCCCCCGTGTTTTGTGTACTCACAATTATGAAGTGTAAAAAATCGATAACCATCGATCGAGAGAGTTGTGAATAGCAATACACGAAACCTATAACAATTTGCATCAGCATGCACAAGGATTTCTGTTAGTTTAAGACCTGGTGGCATTGTTTTGCTTGATATCAGACTTCTCAGTGGTGTGCAACCATAACTTCTCCTCTCCAAGGATAGAAACCAGTA